GCACTCACTCAGTCTTACCTGACCTAGGAAAAAAGTTTCTAACCATATTTCCAGATGTCCATGTCAGTCAACACAATCTCCATATAATTTATAAGGTATTAAATATCAAAAATAATGGATCTTTTCAGTTAGCATCTTGGCAGATGATGATAGCAGTACATTTTATTTGAGAAGCCAGCACAGACTTCTCCCAGTAAAACTGCAAAGAGAAAACTGTGAGCATTGGCCCCAGATCCTACTAGAAAAAAGCTGCCATTATACTCCATTACAGTTAAAGCTATGTATGTACCTCCTGGATGGCATCCAATCACATAGAACTTTTCCCTCCCTCTTAATTTTTTTAATTTTTTTATTAAAAATAAGTCCTCTCAATGACTAGACAGTGGTTTCTAATAAAGAAATAAACTGAAAATCAACCGGGGGAATGTGTGTTGAAAGTAATGGGAGATTTTTTCAGAATCACCAGTAACAAGATACTTCTTTGTAGTCAACTTTCTGTGCTATGTGACATGCCATAGGGACTAAACGCTCCAGTCTAATGTATAACTCAGAAGTGCCAGCAAAGTGCCAGAAAGTACAAATTAAATGAGGGGAAACTGCAAAAGGAAAGGTGGAGTTATTTACTTAGGACTTGAATATAGCTTAAGAGTTTTAAACATGCTCAAGTTTGTTTTCTCTCTCTGAGCTCTTCTTTGAATATCTGGAAAGATATTTGGGCATCCTTACATTCTACAGAAAAAAAAAAAAAAAACCTCAAAAGTAAAAGATGATAAAGTAATTAAAGTAGCCTTTTTAGGAAATTAGGTATGTATTTTGCCGATTGTATTCTAAAAGTAAGACATTTTACTCTTCAATGTTCAGGTTCTGATGAAAAGTCAGTATGAAGCAGTTGGAAAAGATGTTGCACTTTAGGTAAAAGAGGAGTCTCAAAGGATAAATAGAAGGTCAGTAAAGTATAGAGCAAGGGCCTTAAAATCATACAAACTTGGTTTCCCATTTCAGATCTACCACTTTTGTTTATTCACAAATATCACTTGAGTGTCTACTATATGCTAGATACTGTACTGAAATAGAATAATATTGCTGCCCTCATGGAACATACATCTTATGGACAGTGACAGACACTGAACAAATAAGTTAAACAGAAGAATATCAGAGAGTGCCTTGAAGAAAATTATAATAGAGTACAGTGACAATAGTAATGGCATATCTATTGTAGATTGAATGATCAGGAAAGGCCTCTCTGAAGAGGTAACATCTGAACCTGAATGATAACAAAGAGCCACCCACATGGCGACATAGTGGAAAACTATTCTAAACAGAGATAACATCAAAAGCAAAGGCCCTAAGACAAAAATGAGCTTCATTTATTAAAGGAATGGAAAGAAGACCGGTGTACCTAGAGTTCAAGTATGAAAAAGAATAGTAAGAGATGAGGTTGAGCAATAGATAAGAGCCTTATCTTGGGAAGCCTTACCATGGTTAGGTGTTGGATTTCATAAAGACCCACTTAATAACTACAAGACTTTGGGCAAGTTGCTTAACTCTGTCTCATTTCCTTCACTTGTAAAAAAAAAGATAATAAAAGTACCTACCTCTTATGATTGTTGTAAAGATTAAAAGAGAAAATATGTGTAAAGCACAATGCCTGACACACAGTAAATATTCAATAAATGTAATTGTTATTATATATTAGAATAAGTCTCTCTGTAACTGGGGGCTTAGAATCAGACAGGCTGTATGCAAGTCGTGGTTCTGTCACTGATTGATTGGCTGTATGACTTTGACCAAGTTACTTAAGCTCCCTAAGCCTCAGTTTTATCATCTTAAAAACGAGGTTAGATTTTGTGTTCTACTTCCTGACACATATTGACCATTTGAAATGTATTAATTAATATTGTTATTGTTATTATTCAAACTCTTTCTGGTCTCATAAGTGGGAGTAGGCAGCCACTTTTGTGGAATATTTTCAAAAAAACTTAGAAGGATTTCTTTTCCCCAAAGCCTCCCTCTTCTTCTCCTTAATGGCAGAAGTTCCACCATTAAAAATGTGTTCCTTATGCTTACGACTCAGTCCTGGCTGGTCAAAAGAGTACTGGTTAAGAAAACAGGCTTTAATGACATACAGAAATGGGATCAAATCAAACTGCCACTTAAAGTTCTATGACTGTTCTTCAGCTTGTTGAGCCTCAGTTTTCTTATCTGTAGAATGTGGCTAATCATAAAATCTCTCTCATGTTATTGTTGTGAAATAATGCGTGTAAATTTCTTAGCACAGTATCTGGCATTTAGTAAGCACCATCATCTATATCAGCATTATTAAGAAGTACTGTTAGTTCTGGCTCAGCGTCAATGACTCTAGAGTTCCAGCCTTAGAACTATCAGAGACCTCAGAGATAGCTGAGAACAACCTGCTTATTTTACTTATAGGGGAATTCAGGCATAAAGGGAGGAAAGTACTTGCCCACATTTACACTGTGAGTAGAAAAGCTTAGTATGAAAACCAGATTTGAGCTTCCAGCCCAAACTTCTTTATTACAACACAGAGTTAGCATTTAGATCTTGCTCAGGGAGCATATTTTGCTGAAAAGAATGGTGGAGATAGAGACAGAAATAGAGAAAAAAAGCAAGTGAGCCTCCTGCTGCAGGATGAAGCCTAAGGTCATGACATGAACAGCTTTGCTGACTGGAAGTTGCCTAGGCTTGGGTCTTCATTAGCCTTTTAAGGACTTTGTGGCTTGGACAAGAACATAAATACCCAAAGGTAGACAGACTAAGCACAGAATCACAGAATTTGGACAATTCAGGGCTTTATAACCCTTTTAAAAACAAAGAAATGTGATGTTTTAAAATCAGAATTTCCTTATACTTCCTTATATGCATTGATAAGTATAGCATAAACTTAATTAAAATAATTGCATTTATTTAGGGAGAGGCATCCTTCTCTTTTTAATGTTTATGGTCTTTAAAGTTTTAATCCAGTCTTACTGTGGAGGCTGAGATTTGGTTCCAGGTACGTATTCCCCTTTATTTTGCTGTCTTTTCTATAGCAATTATCATCTGCCATTACTTTTTAACTTGGTTATATGTTTGTTTTTGGCTTTTCCTGCTCTGACTCTAGAATAGAGTATTTAAAACAGCTTTTTGTCTGTTATTGTTACCATTGCATCCTCAATAATTAGAAGGGTGTCTGGCACATCATAGTTGATGTTCAAGAAATTTGTTAAATAAGTAAATAATGAATTCTCGGTCCCTAAGAATTCTGTCAAACTGAATTCCAAGAACTTCAAACTGCCTTGAACTAAGGCTAGTCCAGAAGTCCCAGAATCTTCACTGAAGAAGGTGACCCTTATTTTCAGCCTTGATACCACCAACTTGAGTGAGGAAGGTAACAAGCTGAGCAGTTTACCCTGGACTAGCAAATGGGAGGAGTGGAGGCTTTAAAAAGTCTATAAAGTTGGAGCTTCTCCATGATAAGAAGGAAAGCTAGTTGTTATGGCCATAAAAGTCATCCCAGTCTTTGAGCCTGCCTGGCTTCCCTCACTGCCACATTTTAGGCCTCGCACTGGCTTTACTCCTCTATACTCCTAAACTTAGTACCTCTCTGGATGCTTGAGAAAGAATAGCTTCATTCCCAAATATTCAGAGAGCGAAAGAAGTGAAGCAGTAGGAAGTACATAGCTTTTTAGAAATCTGAATACAGAGTAAATTTTTACTCAGTAGTCTGTGCTTTGGCTTCCTTGTTAAAACAAACTGCTTCATAGTTTAAGAAGCATTTCACCAAGTCCTCCAGAATCAGGAGACATTTGGGGAAAGAATCCAAGCATATATGAAATGAGAACATAGATTTCCAGCTACTGCAGGCAGTTTTGGAAAAGAGGGATATATGGAAAACGCAGTGTATGTTTTGGACTCAGTGGTACACAGAGTAATGTTAAGAGTGGGACAAGAAAGTTGCAGTTGCCGAAGCCCTACCATGAGTTGAAGGATGCTGATGCTCAAGAGGACAGTCATGTCTCCCTATCCCAATCCTGCTTTAGTTATTTTAATTAACCAGATTCCTTTCCCAAGATGCAAACACCAATGGGAGGACTAAAACCTGTGGGTGGAGGAATCTCATTCACACTTTAGTATAAATCTATTCAACCTGTCATTGCCTTGACAGAGGTTTATGTATAGGTTTTGGTCCACAAAAAAGCAGTATTTCTGAAGAAGGTGAGGGAAGATGTTGGAGAGGGTCACAGGAAAGACAGCATTTGGGAAACCATAACAAATATAAGATGCAGTGGTTTAGGGGTGGAGACAGAGATGGAAGAAGGTTAATGGAGATATAAAACAACCTCTGTCTCCATTTTTTCAGAAGACTTGGCCTAGAAGGTCATGAACAACAAAATTCCTATAATTTTAAACCTGACCTAGGGTTGATCACACTGGTAATGCTTTTAGAAAAGGCAGTGTTTGCTGTCATTTCATGGGAACCAACACATAATATGGTTTATGAGATCTTAGCATTGCTTTCCCTGAGAGTTAGAAGGTACAAGGGTGATAACTGGGAATTCCCTGGGCTGCCACACTGGGACCACCACTTATTCTAGTTATTGATCAGTCAGCTATCCAGCTCCAAAATCATCTCATTGTTGTCAGATGGTCTGTTTGCCCTGACTTTCTCCAGGACTCCTAGCTGTCCTAGGGAATTTAATCAAATCTGAGTAATCAGGAATCAGCTTGGCAAGAAGCCCCAAATAAATTAAAGTCAAATTAGACAAATCAGAGAAGGTAGAAGTTAATCTTTCAGCTTGATTCCTGAAAAGTCACCCAAGGGTTTGCCGTTTACAATTCTGCATTAGTCTTCAGACAGCCTGAAAAACAAAGTATTGGAATTTACTTGAGTACAAATATAACTTAATAAGTTCTTTCTTGAAGGATGGAGAGAAAATAAAGGAAAAATGGCTCTGGGTGCCTACAAATAAAGGCAAAGTTTAATAAATAGTTGACCAAGTATAACTGCTAGATAATCCAGATATATTTATTACATTTGATGAGCATTTGAAATCCAAGTTGTAATTAAAGCTGAATTATTGCTTTTGTTTTTAAATGTAAAATAAAAATCAATTTTATATTTAATTATACATTGCATTTTGTTGGTTACATTGTTCATATGACACAAGTTTTTATTATTAGCATGTTATATTAACTATAAAAATTGAAATCACTTAAAATAAATTGAAATATGGAAAATTAAACAGAACTAAATATGGAGATTACACAAAAAATTAGTTAATTTTTTGATATATTTTATGTCAACCTGGTTAACATATCCCATTAAACTGTTTGGTGTCATCATCCTGAAATTTTATAATTTTGAGAGCCAAGGGCACAAACAAAAAGTTACATACAGTTTATACTTTACAAGTGGGAAAGAAAGAATACTAAAAAAACAAAAAGATTACTCATACTTTGATTACTAATTTGATCTTACAACATAACCTAACAAATGAACTTAGCCTAACTTAACCTAATTTAATTGAACTGAACCTAATGCTTATACATTCTATGTATAATGTTTTCACAAGACAATATAATGCATGATTATTTTTTAGGACTTTAGATAACAAGAAAAAAGTAATGCATTTTTGAAAGTTTAGTTTTATTATTGTTCTATCGTTTTAGCACTTTTTTTTCAATGATTCCCTAACCCAGGCTCAGATTTAGTCATTTTAGTCATTTGTGTCCTGGTAAGGAGACAGATCTTACAAAAGAAACTAGGCAATTTACTGTATATCAAGCCTGGAATTGTTTTTTTCTTTCTTTCTTTCTTTAATATAAGACTCATCAACAAACAGTATTAAGTCAGGATTTGGTATTGGAGCATCCAAAAATTCTGTTCTGGGCGTGGATACTTTTGATTTACAGAATCACAATGAAAACATTCTCCTCATTCAGTAATGGTTATATAGTTTTGGGAGAATGTTACACTAGCAAATGTTAATACAAGGAGGAGAAAATAATAATTCATAATTAATCAATTGGTATAAAAATGTTGGATAGTTTCCATTAGTGATAGGGATTTATACATACAGTAACATTTGATTTAAAGGTTTCATGTAAGGGGAGTGGGTGAGGGTATGGGTGAAATAGGTGATGGGGATGATTAAGCAGTGCACTTGTGATGAGCACAGGGTGATGTATAGAATTGTTGAATCACTATATTGTATACCTGAAACAAATATAACACTGTATGTTAACTATACTGCAATTAAAATAAAATAAAATATAAAGGATTCATGTAAGAAAAAATAAGGTTACATTATGCTCATGTTTTAAACTTAAAAATCAGTATTTTTAAATCTATATATCTTCAAAAAGAAAAACAAAGGTTAATGAGAATTTTAGGAATTTGATTATTGTTTAAAATTTTTACCTTTTCTATTAATGTTTTATGGTGTTTGGGGTTTTTGTTTTGTTTTGTTTTGTTTTGTTTTTAATCACTTCCTGGCACAATTTAAGCAACTTACAAGATGCATTGTTCATGGAGGATTTACTTTAAAAGTCTTAGCATTTTTAAGTTGCCATATCATCCAAATATTTTAAAAATTAATTAATACAAATTCTCAGAATGTTTTATTGTTTTGCAATGTTTTAATTGTTTTGTCTTGTGTGTGTGTGTGAGGAATGTAGATGAGGGAATATATTTCCATTCCTTCTGACAGGAGCACCAATGTAGCACCTTTCAAGCTATATTGTGCTCAGAAGTTCTATTTACATATTTTAATATTCTTAAATCTACATTTCATCCAATAAACAGTAAAACATTTTAAAGATTATTTTATTTATTTTGTTGTTTAAGTGGGTTATAAAAAAATGTTTTATTGTCTTTTGTATATTTGTAAATATTGATTTTAATTGCTCCTGAACTAGGCACCAGTTTAGTAGCTTCCTAACTGCATTTTGATCCAAAGCATCATATGAAAGCCATGGTATTTTGCAAGTTTTACAAATGCTCAAAAAATACAAGTTTTAAATTTTTGTGTGTTTTGTTTTGTAGGGGGTTGCTTTATGAGTATTTTCACTCAATTTGGTCCTGATTTGGGCACAAATTTAGCAGATTTCTACCTGTATTGTACTCTAAAATTTCACACAAATGATACAGTATTTTTAAATTTACAGAACCTCAAAAAATAAATAAAATATAAATGCAAATGTTAGGAATTATTTTTTGTTGTTTTTATTGTTTTGTAATTTTTTTCTGAGTTTTATTTTATTGATTTGGGTTGGTTTATGTAGTTTTTTCAATATGCTCCTGACCTGGCCACAAATTTAGCAGCAATCTGGGACATTGTGCTCCAAAATTTAATATGAGAGAATAAGTGATTTAAAGTTACAGATCTCTACTCTCCACCCAAAAAAACATTAAGAAAGTTTTAAGAAAGATTTTTAAATGTGTTTTATTGTTTTATTTTTTGCTAATATTTTGTTGTTAATTTTTTTTTTTTCAATTTGCTCCTGACCTGGGCACAAATGCAGCAGTATTCTGGCTGCATTGTGCTCCAAAGTTTTATATGAAGAATATTTTATAGAATCAGTCTCTCAAAAGAAAGATAATTGGAAATTAAGAAAAAATGTTGGTGTTGCTAGTTTTTTAATGGATATTTGTTGTTTTATGTGATTTTCTATTTTGTACTTATTTGGGGCACACATTTAGCAGCTTTCTGGATTTGAAGTTTCATATGGAAATTTTAATGTAGTATAAAAAAAAGGAAGATTTTTTTTAAAAAAATGACACTGCTGGGACCTGCAAATGTGTGAATCCAGTTACTTTTGTTTCTTCCCATCCATATTCAGGCAAACACAATTTATGTTTCTACTTTCAAAATATATACAATAAATTTTACCAGCTCTTTTAAATTTGACACATTTCTTATTAATAATGTTAGGCTAAAATATGTTCTTGAGCTAAAATATACTCTATGACAATACAAAAATGGAAAAAAAGACTCACATGTATCAGTAGTAACACAAAGTTTTTTTTTTAAATAATCCCTGAATTTGTTCTATATTTATAGGCCCAACCTAATTACCAAATATTACCAAAGTGGAAATATCTTTAAAAAAAAATTTAAAATAATCTCCATATCACTAAAGTCAAGGCCACTGGCTACTCATATAATGTGATACAATGAAATTACAACACAGCAGAAGAGTTTGGCAATCTCTTTTGGTTGTTGTAATTAGACCTGACCTATAATTATTGAACAAAACAGCATATGCACAATAAACATTCAAATAAATGTATCTGACTGTATTCAGTACATTAATCTGTTTTCAGTATCATTAGCTTCAAACTGTCTTGTTCATAGCATAGGAAAAATCATAAGAAAGACCATATCTGGACCTAAAGACAGTTCTCATTACCTAAAAGGTGGATTCTAACATCAGTTCACCACCATTATGTGTTGTTTGATCACTAATCTCTTCTTGAATAGCTGGAAGGGAAGGCTTTGTGGTTAGAGGTGTTTCAGTCTTAAACAGGGACTCCATCTTGATATGGGTATTGATGTAGAAGGACTTCTGAAAAGACTCAAGGGTGAAGTAATAGATAAAAGGGTCAAAGCAACAGTTCAGAGTTGCAAGGCACAAGGTGATTGGGTACATAATCTTTGCAAATCTTTCCAACAAGCAATTAGTAATGGCTTGGGAGCGCACTAGGGCATACAGGAAGAGGACAGAGTTATAGGGTACAAAGCATACCATAAAGACTGCCATATGCACTGTGATCATCTTCAGCACTTTTTTCTTATTGGTCCCGATTTGAGACAGTGTAGCAGGCTTGCGAAGGGTTCTTAGCACCACAGAAGAGCAAGAGACATTCAATATCAGAGGAATGATGAAACCAACAACTTCAATAAATATGGTGATCTTGGACAGATAAGTCTTCCAGACACGTTTGGAGAAGCCCTCAAAGCAGGTGGTGGTTGCATTGTTGACATTAGTGGTGGAGAACAAAGAAGCTGAAATACCACCACTAAGGACTAGGATCCAGACTCCAGCACATACAATGGCAGAATTCCTCCTTGTCCTAATGGTACGAGATCGGAAGGGATAAACAATGGCCAGGAAACGATCCACGCTAATACAGGTGAGGAATAGCATGCTCCCATAGATGTTGGTGAGGAATGCAGTCCCAGAGATCTTGCAAAGGGTGTCACCAAAAGGCCAGTGACGGTTGAAATTGTAAAATATTTTGAAAGGTAGAGTGCAGACAAAGAGCAAATCAGAAAGGGCCAGATTGGTGATGAAAATAGCAGTCTCACTTCTCATTTTCATGCGGAAGCAGAAGACAAACAGAGAGGCACTGTTGGTTATCAGACCCAGGATGAATACAACACTGTAGACAGCACCATTTAGATTATACTTGAAGGAATCATCAACAATGCAAGTATTATTGGCAGTAGCATTGCCTAACCTGGGTCTGAAGCTTGAATTTAAATCTTGAAATTGAAAGTCAATGAATCTTCTGTCACCCATTGATTTTTTTTTTTTTTTCAGAAGGCCTGCTGGCTGCAGGGTTCACCACTTTGAGACTAGAGACTGGTAAGAAATATTTTCCTCCTATGGGAGACAAGATGGAATGAATAATCAAATCTGCCTTCCATTCATTTCTATGGAGTAAAAGATACCCTGTCTACCCAGAATGGAAACAATATGCACATTCAACTGGTTTGACAAGTACATTTTGAGCACCAACCATATCTTAAAAGGTACTATAAGAGTATGTTGCAGGATTGGGAGAGATCACACTCAATATAATATATGCAATACCATATGTAGCATTGCAATGAACAGGAATAAGAGACTAAACAGCAATGGAGGAGACTAACAGCAATGGGGGGCTGGGGATGGAGACTAAACAGCAATGGGGGATGGGGATGGGGATACATTTAACTCTGATAGTTAAAATGACACTAATAATTTGAAATGCATATGGAGTTTTTTAATTTTCAAAAAATGCGTTTTATTTGATTCCCAAAGGAACACCATAAGGTAGGCAAGAAAGGAATTTATCACCATATTACAGGAGAAGAAACTGAAGTTTATGTAATTTAGAATTACAATGTCAGAATTAGAAGAATGTGTAAATGGTACCGTCAGAACCAGAATTCAGGTTTTTCATTCCTAACCAAAGAATTGTTAAACTTATCTAAATTATATTGTCTCTCTTCCAATACTAGTAAACCTCATTGTCTGAATATTAGTTCTATTGCATGAGACTACAGGTCGATATGGGACCTCCAGGACATGCTCTTAAAGAAGTTATGACTAAACTTCTGAAGTAAATTATTGATTCACCTTTTTCTTCTAAAACGTGAGTTCAGAGAGCAAGGATCCTTCAGTTGATTAAAGCTTCTGGTGAAAAGATTTTTCACAGTATTACATAGCCTTTCTAGGGTGATAATTCAAATAAAAATCTCAGAGTTTCCCTCTTGCAGATTGTAGTTCCCTCTCCAAGTTTTTCTCTTCTAGATGCCTAGCCTAGGATGTCTTCTTCTCCCCTTCCCACTGCCCAATCCGTTACTTTCATGTCTTCAGCTCCTAAAGTGGCCCTAATCAATAAAAACTTTTCTGGCTGAATACAAGTGAAGTGTGAAAAGTAGATTTGACTTAAATGCCTATCTCCCTGTCCCACTATATACTTCTGATCTGATCAGTAACCAGCCCTTTGCTTGCCACTGCTTATACATGTGGCAGTCATTAACTTAATCATCTTTGTTGGGTATCTGGGCTAACATTGTTCAAAACTGCATATAGAAATCTTACTAACTTTCTAGGTTAACAGCTGCCATAGGAACTGTCTTTTGAATTCTCTGTAATATACTATGGACAAGTAACTGTGGAATGAATTCTTTTCAATGAGGAGGATATGGAGTAAAAGTGGTCTTCACTCCCTGACATAACCAATAATGGATTTTCACATGATTATATTTTAAAATGTGAAAGGCATTTTTCTGAAGTGATTTCTCCTTACATTACTCTTTCCTTCCAACTCCCAGGGAACAGGTTAAAGGGCCACTCTTTGTAACAGAGAAGGGAGTGGAGGAAGGAATCTGCCTGAGATATAGAGGCCTGAAGTTACTTCAACCAGCGTTTGGATTGAGAAAAAAAAATGATTTGAGAAAAAAAAATTCACTCACTGCAGTGCCTAGAGGGAGAAATGGCCTTGGAGAGATGACTTATGGGATGTAAATCAAAGAGTTGTCACTTTTAATAGCTAAAGTTCTCAAGTTAAGATTGGAAACTTGTTATTTCTCAATTCTCATGCAAAAAAATCTTTATGGAGTGCCTCCCCTGAGCCTAACACTGCACTAAGATCATATTCGTTCTTGGCCATTTCATCCCACAGGCCCAGCTCAATGTCTGCCACAATCAACCTTGATATGTAAAAGCAAAGCATAGTAAGAACCTTGACCAAGTAAGGTCCAAGAGGGGAAAAAAACAGACAGTGAAGAAATAAAAATAGGTGAGAAGAGCAAAAGAGGAGATGGGAAAGAAAGTAGCAAAGAAATTACAACTGAAGAATTGAGAGAATGAGAAGAAGAAAAGGTGAAAGAAAGAGGACCTTGCTGGGGAGAGGTCAGTACTGCTATCTAATTTGTATTTAGGACCTTGGGAGGTATTTCTGGTTCACAATTCCTCAATTCTTCTCTACTACTTTGCTTCATCTCACTCCTTCTAGTTTTCTCAGAAAGAACAGTATGCAATCACTATGTTTAAGGTCACTGAAGCTGATCAGCAAAAACAGGAAGAGTCTGAAAAATCTCAGTTAATGGGGTTCATATCTCACTTGGGGAACTGTAGACCTAAGTTTCTGCAGGTTCTTTCACCAATGGGATGGCAGAAGGAAAAAGAGAATGGCAAACTTCTCAACTGCTTAAACCACTTTATATACTATTTTAACACCTACCACTCACTACCCATTAGTCTGGATGCCATTTTTTTAATTGTTAAAAGAAATAAAGAGAGTCAAAAATATTCCTGTAATGTAATTACACATTCTAAAGAAATTAAGGGACTGAAAAATCCCTAATATTAAAGCCAAGCTTCATTCATTCTAATCTGCTTGCACCTGCCTTTTACAATAAGTACTGCCAATAAGATTTGGAAAATGTTTTCATAATAGATGTCTTTTCACCTGTACCCAGAGTTCCTCCACTCTGTCCACTGATAACCTTTCTACACAGCATGCTTCTAGCTCACTGGCTATTATTTTGTACTACCCAGGATGGTGTGTTTCAAATAGGTGAAATTTGTCTCCCTGGTTTTCCATTCAGTTTTATGTCTCCCAGAACATATACACTATACCAACAACAGGCAGTCTGGCACTTCTGCTCTGCTGCTTTGAGGAACCAAATCCTGTGGGATAGAAAGGACCACAGACAAGAAAGCTTTACAGTCTCAATCCTGAAGACAGGGCATGGGAAAACTGTCACTAAGGCCCTATTCATAACTTCCCTTTGCTTGAACACATAGCACCTTTGCTGTCTAGCAGTAAGGGTGTGGTTCTGGGACTTAACACAGCATTGGAAGCAAGGAGTTCTATTTCTGACCCAGACACTAGTTCACTCTGTAACTTGACTATACTGTTTCTCTTCCCTGTATAAACATTACCTCTGAGTCTCCCAGCTGAGACTAAGAAGATTCAACAGGGCTTGTGAGTAGCTTTATGAGTTTGCCAGTATTCAGTCCTACCTAATCACAAAGAAACATTATAGAAGATCTTTTTTCCTTCTTTTCTCTGACACAACTAGACACTTAGGTCTCTGTCTTTCTTGGTAAGCCAAATTTACCAAGCAACACATCTTTCTCCTAACACCATGTATACCTTATACCTCAGAAAGCCCCCTTTGAATTTCAACCTTTACACAATTTTCTCATAATATAACAATCCAGGAGGGTGCCCTCAAAAGGACTATCTCCCTTTGAGCTATGGTTAAAAAATCAGAGAGTTGGGGCGCCTGGGTGGCTCAGTTGGTTAAGCGACTGCCTTCGGCTCAGGCCATGATCCTGGAGTCCCGGGATCGAGTCCCGCATCGGACTCCCTGCTCGGCAGGGAGTCTGCTTCTCCCTCTGACCCTCCTCCCTCTCATGCTCTCTGTCTCTCATTCTCTCTTTCTCAAATAAATAAATAAAATCTTTAAAAAAAAAATCAGAGAGTCATTTGACTCTCAAGCTGATTCTAAAGGAGAATCAATGATATTCAAAAAACAAGTTCTCTTCTGACTGACTTCCTTTCTTTTGACTAAAAGAAACTTTTTTAACCACTAGATTTTCATAAATGGCTAATATGCTGTGCACTGAATGAAGGCAAGGGGCCAACATGAGCTTCAGATGAGATGAAGAAGAAAAAATACAGGCTGATTCAGTTAATTAACTATTCCACTGCAAGTAGCATGGTACTATTGTCTTGTAAAGACCTTTGCATCCAATCACTCCAATAACTAATCACTTAGGGGGTTCAGAGTACTAGGTGGATGTATTTTCACTGACAATGAGCAGGAGGCAGATCACCCGAAGGTTGACCAAAGGGAAATCTGACCCTCAATGAATTTTTAACTTTGACCTACACATATGGACCCAATTTGAACAGTTCATAGTAGTGTTCACATTTTAAAAAAACTTCTAATAATGATGAAATATACCATGTTTGGGGGCTTTGGGGCTCCTGGAGGAAGTGGAGTTAGCTTTTTGGCCCTACAGAGATGAATACCTAAATCACTTCACTAAATGCTAAACTTTCAGACACTAAATGCTAAACTTTCAGATGGTAACATTGAAAACAAAGTTCTAACTCCTGGCATATTCCCAGTAGCCTAGAAAGCCTGGCTTACTTTTGTTCCCTACAGAAGACAGTCCAGAGTTTAGGAAGACAAGGCCTTGAAGGCAGAGTATACTCAAATTCTCTTACCTTGCTCCGGTTTTGTTTTTGTTTTTTTTTTTTTAAGATTTTATTTATTTTTGACAGAGAGAGAGAGTGTACAAGCAGGGGAAGCAGCAGGCAGAGGGAGAGGGAGAAGCAGGCTCCCTGGGGCTCGATCCCAGAGTCCTGGGATCATGACCTGAGCCAAAGGCAGATGCTTAATGGTCTGAGCCACCCAGGCGCCCCACCTTGCTCCGTTTTTATTGAGCTTGGGTCAGGTCAGAGTGCTTCTGATCCTCAGAGAATTTCCTCTTTCTACTCTGGTTGAAGCTTAGGAACACTGACAATAGTTTTCAGAGGAAGCCAAAACCTATTGTGTCCTTGCCTATAAATATCTAGCAGTGAAGCAAGCTAAAAAATACAAAAATGTTGCAAAAAAATACAGATCAAAACCATTCTGCTGGAGTAATAGGGAATATGTCCAGACTGCTGCTTCTCAGATGAGAGTGGCTGCTAACAGATAAGACCAAGTCACAGGCGAGGGTTTTAGAGGGGAGGGGTGTGGGGGGATGGGTTAGCCTGGTGATGGGTATTAAGGAGGTATTGCACGGAGCACTGGGTGTTATATGAAAACAGTGAATCATGGAACACTACATCAAAAACTAATGATGTACTCCATGGTGATGGACATAACATAATAAAATTAAATTAAATTAAAAAAAAGACCAAGTCACAGGCATAGGTCACCATCATACACATGGTTCTAATTGATGTTCCTATGCATTGGTTGATGTTTCATAATAATTTTTAAAATACAACTTAGTCTTATGGCATTAATAATATGGAGGAGACCATAAGTAAATATTTTACTCCAGAGCTGAGCTGGGAAATTGATCTCTATCACATTTCATGCCAAGCAAGCCAGGCTGTGCATCAAATGTTCAGATTGATAAGCTTCATTTAGTTTTGATGAAGGAAATATCCTTTTAAAAATCACATCTCTGTGTTGACTTTGATTTGCACTGAGATTATTATGGCTGTTTTGCCTCCTCACTTTGAGAAGAGGAGGAAATTGACACAGGCCCTAATCTGAGCAGATCCTATCCTCAGTGATTAACTTGATTTTTTTCACTAAAATAATCCAGGCTCCCACTAACCCTTCACCTAATGACACAGTCTAATCTTTGAAAAATAATACTGTTTAGTCCTCAACATGATGGGGCCAAAGATTGCATCAACCCTACTAAAGTAGAATTTTCCCTAACAGTTATAGAGTAAGAGAACTGCAGAGAAATTGCTCAACCTAATATTATGAAATTGTCTAGAGTCTTGAGATTCAACATCATCTCAGAAGAAGCCCCAGACCATTTGGGAAACATTCTGGGTGTTCCTAAAAGAGTGCATTTCCAAATTCTGTGAGGTTCATACATGCCAACTGGGAATTTGGCTTTATTACACATATTTAAACAAGTAAATTAGTTATAAATTTGCATACCAATTCATCTGACATACTTGGATACTGATTTTGAAATATGAGTAAAAAATATGTCTCCTATCTCTAAAGGTATATACCAATGGCACAGAGGGCTTAAATCAAAGGATCTATATACATCTACACCAAAATTGTCTGAATTACAATAAACAATTACAATGACTCCATTCATTCTGGAGTTTTGGGTCTTATCATCTACAATAAATTGGAAGCATTGGTTACAAAAAAAGAAGTTGGAGAATGAAATTAAGAATTTTGGAGAAAGTTATTACCAGGAGAGTAGTACTCACCATATCAGTTCAAACCAAGCTCTAGCACCAATTTTATCCAAGACTTGGGTAATCAATGAACTTTCTGAAGATACTATTGTTAGGGATTTCCTCCAATGAATGCTATGAAATAGAATTAGTCACAGTAGTGTGCCATGGAGAGACCTTTCCAATAACATATATACCAAAATTATAAGGAAAAGAAATTTATTATATGATATAAATCAGAGTAAATTAAAGCCAACATATTTTAAAATGGTACCTAAATGTTTTGGATTTTTTTATTACAGAATTGCAGATAACATTTTATTTTTCACACCTGTCACTGATAAGCCATATTTTATTAGTTATATCAACAAACATAAAGTCCGTAAGTCTGTATTACCTATAATCATTAAAGATAACTAGTGACAAAAGGCATAAAAATACTTCATCACTTCCATAAGGCAATACATTACATTAAAAATAATTGAACAAAGGAGATTTATATTTTTTGGCCTGAAATTATATTGGTTCTTTTTTTTTTTTTTTCTTTTCTTTTTCTCTGGCAAAAACTGTTACTATTGGACAGGGGCCTTGATGGGGAAGAGGAAAGAAGAGTGGAACAACAGGTGGAGACCACACTGCCTTGGCTCTAACCTGCTAGATTTCTTTCTCCCCTAAACTACAGTGATATGAGCAAGGCTTCAATTGCTGGGTATTAGCACACTGACAACCACTGCTGCTTCTACTAGAATGTTCTAGGCCTAGCATATTCTGTAACATCTTCAAATCACAGCTCTGCCCAAAGTCCTGGTATAGAACTAGAAATACTCAGCAAAGGAATTCTTACAAGTAGCACCAGCATTTGAACACTACTCATTTACTGCCTGTAAAGTAGAATCATCTGCTAGTGCCAAACTTACACTATGGTCACATCTCACCCTCTTCTGAACAAAAGTGGCCTAAAAAAGCAGACTGGTAAATAAAACTCTTAACTCTCCCGAAATAATTTTTCCCTAATCTAAGAGAACCAAAACAAAAGAAAACAAAAAAATGAAGTCATTAAACAATCTAAAATATATTTGAAATCACCTTAATATTAAGGGGAATTGATTTTCACACTCCTCCAGAAAGCAGTATTTTTGAAATAAAATAAATATCATTTTACTGGCTTATGTTAAGGGAAGACAAAAACATTAACATTCCTTTCTTTTATGGCTTTCACAACTGATACAGATTTTTAAGAAAACTTCTTTTTATTTGGAATACAAGCAAACTAGGAAGTTCAAATACCCAGAGGTTTTCATATTTACTATTAATTCAATGTGGCCACATCCAGCCCCATCACTAACTAACTGTGTGATAGCAAGTCACAGTCCTTTCTGGACCTCAGTTTCTATTCTCCTTCCACCTTCGGCTTTGATTGACAGCAGCCTTTAACTGATGCTATTGTCAGTGGCCTTACAGGCTATTCTCTCCTATCAGTTGTTTCCATCTGCTCCCATTTATTTCTGCAAAAAATAATAATAATCCCTCAAAATCTGAGATAAAGGAAATTAATATTTATTAGACTCAATAAAACTATTGCTAGATTTATTTCATTTATTTTTAATTGAAGTATAACTGACATACAACATTGTATTAGTTTCATGTGTACAACACAATGATTCAATATTTGTATATATTGCAAAATGTTCACCACAATAAATCTAACTAACATGTGTTACCATACATAGTTTAGATTTATTTTAATTTCAGAAGCAAATATTGCTAATTAGTGCAAGGAGCTAAGAATCACAGATCAAGATGTCATTATATCCTAAAGTCTTCCTAATGCCCTCTTTTTCCTCATTCCCTTTGTGCCCATATCAGCAGGCGTATTGACTCTAATTGTGTTGGTTTTAATCCTCAACCTTTTCCACCTGTCCCCCAGTTATCTCTCTTCTCTGCCAAAGTACTTTAGAACATAACTATATAGAATCAATAGACTACCTAACCTATGCATGTTCTAATAACCAATTACTTACCTACTAAAAGTGAGGCTGGATTTCCAGTGGTAGGTGGCCTCCTATTAAATTCTCAATTTCCAGTACTAAAATTCACAACTATATTATAGGGTTTTTTTTCCCTCCCCCTTAAGAAGGCCAAGATCAGACTATACATGATAACCATACACAGTAAAAAAAAAAAAAAAAAAAAAAAAAAAGACAACTACACAGTTAGGCCCTGACCACACCACAGCAAGGGCAACAATTATCACTGTATTTTCTCTCAAAGGAAACTGAATAAATGAAGCCTTAGCTAAGCTTGGCCTGAGTGTTCTTGCAAGGCATCTTCCCATTCCTCCCTTTAACTCACAGAGAGTACAAATTCTGAAAGGCTAGTCTGATTGTTCCAGTAGGACATTCATTCACATCTCTGATTGGCAGGAAATGCTTTAGAGTGTAGATGCCATCAAGTGTTTCAGCTGAACTCATCCTTTTTAGCAAGAGTGCAACTTTTCATCTGTGACATGGCAAAAGGATTTACAATCTATGTTAATGGGGTATGTTTGGAATTTTGTTCTGAAAAATAAACATGTTTCAAAGCCGCTGGATAATCTGGAGCTTAGGCTATTATTGTTGTCTTCATGTTACTCAAATAAAAAGAAAAATGGTATAATTTGGTAAAATAGCAAAGTGAATAATCCCACCAAGCTCTAAATGTTCTAATCTTTGGATTCATCTGGTCTTTTCCATGCTTAAATAATGATGAATTACACTGCTATATTTCCTAAAGCAAAATAACTAAAACACAATATTTATCAGTTCAACAAGATCTTGTTACTAAAAGTCTTTAAAATATCCAACATATATAAAAGGTTTTAAATGACACATTATTGCATTTGTTTGGAAAACAGTGATTAATTTCACATATAATAGCAAATTCAACTTATGCCAGAATTAGTTTTTCATTTAAACATGTTTCTTCTTTTATGGTCAAGTTCATGAATTATTCAGCATAGCAAATGTCACATTTTCCATAAATCAATTAAGCATCAAAGGCATACCGCCACACATAGTTTTACTAGAAGAAACCTCATCATAATAGAAACCACATTAGCTCACAATCAATTGTAAACCAAAGAAATACAAAGCTAGCCAAAAGAATTTCTAAATTACTCTGATTTTAAATATGCTCTTTAGGACAACTGTATTTACGTGAAACAACAGCCTGAAAATCCAGTACTCTTCCACTGAAGCAGTATTATTGCCAAAACAATAGAAATTATTGCTTTTTTTAAAAAAAAACATTCAACACAAGGATCCCTGCTCAGCACTTCAGAGTTGAAGTCTAACTTCTTTCCCCAAACACTCAAAGCATCAGTGATTCTGCTGAAGTTTGTTATGCCGTCCCCCCGCCCCCAAACGCCCAAATCAAATCTTTCTCAAAGAGACTTACCCCAAGAAAGAGTGTGCAAGATGAAAGAATGTGCTCATGCCTGTAGACAATTAGCTAATAAACATGTAAATGGACAACTTGCACTTTAGAAGTGCATATTTTAATCCATATTTTTTTACAGGGAAAGGTTCGCCCAGCCCAAAGTAACAGACTCTGGGCTGCCGAAGCTTCTTACAACAAACCGCTCATTCTGAAAATGTGAGCTTATTTACATTTATCTCTTTTCTTTGTTAAGGAATGGCTCTCTTGAATGCGGTAGCCGGCATGCCTTTAAGAAACAGGACACAAGAAAAGGCCCAAAGTCCGGGCGGGAGCGAAGGCTGGGGGAACTCTTGGGGGTCTCAGTAGGAAATGCTTTTCATTGGATAAGGAGGCATTATTAGGAGCCGAGATCCCGCCCAATCCCCTGTGCTCCATCGTTTCCTTAGTCACCAATCACTGGACTGAAGAAGTTTTTCCTTAAAGAGCATTGCCCAGGAAAAGCAGTTTTCACAGTCAAGAATTAGCAGCTTAAGTGCCACTTAACAATATAAAAAGTGTCTTTCCTGACCAATCAATCCACAGAGAAAGCCTGTGTGCTTGTTTTTGCTGCAGGACGGCTAACTCTTTACAATTCTAATGGGTAGGAGGAGACAAAACTTCAAACTGGGAGGAGTGTTTTAATTACGAGCAGCCCATATTTGTTCCAACTTGTTTAAAATAATTACAGCAACAATATTTAATAATAATAAGCAGGAGGCAGGGAAAGGCAAAAGTGAATGATACCATTAATGTATTCCTATTATACTATGCAAAATTAAATCTCCCACAAACACACACACACAAACAATACTATACTCACTTAAGCCAGTGAAGTGTCCTCAGTTGGAGATGTGCTGGGGTCCCCAGAGCTCTAATACCCACCTTCCATGGACTTCAGAGTGTTCTGTGGCAAAAGGAGGGTCTACAGTCTACATTTCTCTTAAATAACCGCCTGGCAGGAAGTCTAATTCATGAAATTTTCAGAGGTTTTCCTTAAACCAAAATAAATAGTACAGATGCAATCTGTTTATAATGGGGAGTTATCTTCAACTGTATACCTCCTCCTCCCTCTTGGCAAGTTCTTTCCCTATAGGGTGACTGCCTTGGTTACCCACCCTTTTTTTCTTTTTCCTCCTTCCTTTCTTCTCTCTGGTCCGAATTTGTTGCAGAAATTCAGTCATCCATATGTAACTTCACTGCTAGCCCTTCCCCTCCACCAAGGCCCCCCTTCTATCCTCTACCTCCACCCACTGCCAACATTACCACCAACAGCAATGAAACTCTTGGGTCAGGGATAAGGTGCTTTCTATCTCTGGCAGAGCCATGCCCCTGGAGATATGAGTGATCCTCTGCCTGCTTCAAAACTTCAGTCTGCATAATTAGCTGCCTCCCAAATAAGCCATGCTTCAAGTTTGTTTATTCTACCTCTCTTCAGCTCTATTGTTGCTATTCTCACTAACAGCCAAGGCCAGTAAACAAGTAAGTGTGAAGCTGATACTAGCCTTATTACTTGTGACTGAGTCTAAAAAACACTTCTCTGTTCCTCCCCCTCCCCCCACCCCTAGATTCTGTTCTTTCTGTTCCCCTCTCCACTTATCTCAGGTATGTCTATTTCTGTCAGTTGCTAACATTGGCTGAGTCTCCACAAGAGGTCATTCACCCACTCTGGGCTTAGATGAGCTCTTGGTGCATTTGTCAGTCTACAGAGTCTTTTCCCTCACAGTCTAGCTGGGGATACAAGACACATTAAAGAGATACCAAAGGCAAATTTTGAAAAATACTAAAGTAGTTATATGGAGATTAAGTTCTATAAAGTATCATAAAATGGAGATAAATTCCCATGGATAAGGCCAGGAGGACTTCCTGGTTGAAGGGGTGGGGAGGATTTGAGCTGGACCATGATGGATGATTACTATTTAAATAAGCCAAAAAAGGAAGAGGAAATCTTTCCAGGTGGCCAGACCCAAGTGATCAAATGCAGGAGGTGTGAAGTGAGAAGAGGTGAGAAGGAAGATTGTGAAGAAAAAAAGAAGGGTAAGGAGAAGAGCTTTTGGGAAGAGTGCTCAGTTGTAGCAACTCAGTGAAAAATAGTGATTAAAGTCAACCTATAGTCATGGTCACTGTATGACCAGCTCACTCTCTTTCTTCTGTTTGTGTTAGGATCACTCAGTCTTCCAATTCATTTCTCCCTAAAGTACTTAAGTACCTTTCTGATTAATCTCACAAAGGATTCGAGATCTTTTACCATATCAATGGGTTGCATGTCCTTCTAGCATCACTCTTCCTCTAGCTGAGCTCCACCCTCACTGACTTACTTTCAACTTCCTAGAATGAAATTGATCACTCATACCATGGACATTTCCACATGCTATTACCCCTGCCTGGAACATTTCCCCCTCTCCTATACCCCCCTTCCCAAATTAATTCTTATTCTTCCTTCAGAAATTATACCAGTAACCATGTTTTCAGAAAACCCTTCCTTAATCCCTAGTTCAGGTCATATCCACTTATTATATGCTCTTACAGAATTGTGGACCTCTTCTTTATTGCATTCATCACAGATAAAATTTTACATGCTGTTGTATAATTTTTCATTTGTGTGGTAATCTAATTGTCAGTCTCTCCCAACTGTAAACTCCAAGAGGATAGGGTCTATATCTGCTTAATCCAAAATTAATATTAATAGTGTTTACAAAAACTCTTCTCCCAGACCTTCTCTCTTCTCGAGTAAAGCAGCAGTGTACCTTTTTTTTTTAACTTCTCAGCTGAAAACATGTGCCATTTCATTCATTTACCAACAAGTTCACATCAAGGTGTTATTTTAGAACAAAGAATACACACACATAAAAAAAGTCCCATGAACAAGAAAGTACTGAAGTTTATCCACTACTATTCTCCTTTGTCTTCATCTCACTCCTCTCACTCCTCACTGCAAACATTCTAGTTTTACTTCCTCTAATATTTGGAAGGTAGAAGGGGGAAAATGAAAGCTTTTTTAGGGTGTTCTCCAAACAGCCAGTTTATAGCCACACATCTTAACCCAAAAAGTCCTCAAAACTTTTTCATTGAGTTGCTGATGTACTTGCCACTGGGGGTGGAATGAATATGCAGCTGAAAAAGTGCATTCAGAGCTACCTGGGGGAATGAGTATACATTTCCTCTTTATCTGTTTGAAAAGAAAGTAACAAATATGACTAACTTCTAACTGGGAATTTACACACTTGAGTAAGAACAGCCAGATGCTTGGGATCTTCACACTCCAAACCCGACTCATTTTTTTTTTTTCTTTTTGCCAACAATATCAAAGGACTGGGTGAATTCACCTCAAGTACCAGGGACCCAACACTATGCTAATTTCCTTAGAAACATTACAAATGTAACTAAAAACTTCACTATGCTTATGGTTTAGGATCCAGCTAACAGTTTTGGTAAATCTCATATTCTCTAAATGAACACAGTGCGTGTATACACCTGAGCAGTGCTCTAAGAAGGAAGACCGTTTAATTACTAACTTTGGATTAATTATCAGATGTCTTGAAGCCATTCAGAAAACAAAAGAACAAAAAAAGTCGAGATCCTGAATCTTACAGCCTTTCTTTTAAAATATGGTCTTCTTTTGGGCGCCTGGGTGGCTCAGATGGTTAAGCGTCTGCCTTCGGCTCAGGTCATGATCTCAGGGTCCTGGGATCGAGTCCCGCATCGGGCTTCCTGCTCCTTGGGAGCCTGCTTCTCCCTCTGCCTCTCTCTCTCTGTCTCTGTCTCTCATGAATAAATAAATAAAATCTTTAAAAAAAAAAATAAAATAAAAATAAATAAAAATAAATAAAATAAAATAAAATATGGTCTTTTGCTTCAGTGGGAGGAAGGCACCACAAGGTCAGTTTCCAAATCAGTTCATAACACTGGACATTACATTTCTGAAAGGGCAGAAAACATGTTTTCAAGCACAGTCCCTGGAAAATTTTTAGCTCATCCTTCACACTGGAGCACCATCACCTCTTAGACGTTTCTCTAGATCTGAGATTTCCTTCTCGCTAACTAAACAGTCTTGGATAATAGCAAGTTCCCATTGCTACAGGCAGGGTTGGTAGTTGGAAAAAATGAATGTTTTTGCCAAAGAGTTTTGTAAAGTACCCAGAAGCCTTGAATTCTTGCTATAGATTAGAAAAATGTCAAAGTAATAATAATAATAATGACAATAAAAAATTTTCGCAAGCATAATATATGCCAGGCAATATTCTAAATGCTTTTCCTATATTTATTTACCTAATCTGTACAACTCCATGAGGTAGATACTGTTATTACTCCTATTTTATACTCAAGAAAAGTGAGGCACAGGAAGGTTAAGTGACTCACCCAAAGTCACACAACTAATAATTCTTCCAATATTTCTGATCATTTCTGGACTAATAATTATAATCACATCTTCTTTTGCTACAGTGCTTACAACTCTGTCCAAATTATCTTGTTAATGAGCAAATGTAAGGATCTGCATTTTGTAATGAAAACTACTCACTAGAAGCTGACAAATCCCACTAATAAAATGTGTGGCTTTTGAACCATTCTAAGGTTTAAAAATCTCTGGATCTGATCTATAAATATGAGGCCTAAAGTCAGAAGCTAAGTCTTGAAGGCATAAGGAAAAAGTGGCTTACTTAAGACAACAGAGCTAATAAATGGCAAAACCAAATCAAAATGCAAGTGTTTTGGAATTATGTTAGTATAAATTTGAAGTAAATTTTGGTAAGTTAAAATAATATTGGAAATCCAAGAGCAACCACTAAGAAAAATACCTTAAAAATATAGTTCAAAATCATTAAAGGAGTGAAAAAAAGTACAATACAAAATAGGCACTCAAGACAAAGAGATAGTAAAAGCAGAACATAAGATAAAAATAGACATGAAACATAGAAAACAAATAGTAAAATGGTATAAAGAATTACAACTATATCAATAATAACATTAAATAGGATAAACAATTCAACCAAAAGGCACAGATTATAAAACTTAATTTAAAAAAAAACAAGATCAAACAATATGCTATCTATAAGGCATACACTTTATTTTTTTTTCTTTTTGTTGTTTATTTTTTTATTATGTTCAGTCAGCCAGCATATAGTACATCATAAGTTTTTGTTGTAGTGTTCAACGATTCATTAGTTGCATATAACACCCAGTGCTCATCCCAATATGTACCCTCTTTAATACCCATCACCTGGTCACCCCATTCCCCCACCCCC